ATGTTTGATGGCGGAGCTGTCTAGGGATACATTTTATTCATCAAATTCCACTTCACCCTTTTTCCAAAAGGGCATTCATATCCAGAGGGGTTACTACTTTCAGCCATGTCTTAATTTTATCAATCCGACAGATGTAACTTGAAACCGTGGACAAGTGGAGCTTTCTAGGCTAATCATGGGCAGATTGGTTATAAGGCTTTAGATCATTACAGCCAATTTTTGTCGAAATTGCTCTTATTTAATCGGCTAAGCCAAAAATAAAGTCTATTCGTTTCCTCAAGTGCAGCCAACTGATGTATTTAAGTGTGTGTAGGAGGCAGTGATCAATAGAGCAAGCCTTTAAGTGTATATTTTGTCAGTGATATCCTCTTACTTCGATATCATACAAAAGACTATGCGTTAATAAGACAACGTTTGAATGCTCTACCTCTTTTTGGTTCCTTTAGTGAGCCTAGAGTTCATTGCATAAAAATAGTAAAAGAGTGACTAAAATTATAACTCCTACAAAGATATTAATTCCCTTTGTTTGGCCTATGATACATATTTTAGTCTCACTTTGATTGAAAGTCCAGACTGTTGCTGGCCTCCAGAGCATTGCGATGTGGAACAATCAAATCGGACATTTCCATTTTTACCGATTGCTCATTAAGAGTGGATGAGGGTAAAGCCGCCATGGTCTCTGTCTCGAGAGTGTGCGAAAGTCGTGAGGACTGAATGCTTCCAACAGACCTGCTATTAATACCCGGCTTTCCTTTCCCTTTGTAGGCATTGCCAGCAATTGCACTCGTACCAGCCCCGCCACTTTCTGATCCACTTCCGCCAGTTCTGTTTTCTCCTTTGTCTCCTCTGCACCATCCTTTGGCCGACCAGACGACTTGAATCGGCGCACCACTTCCAGAACACGATGTTGGAAAGTGTCCAGTAGCCTGGCTACGTGACTCTTTCTGGCTAGACATATATTCAGAAGTTGTGGAATTAAGCGTGCAGGCCGAGAGCTGTGAAACAGGCACCGATTTAGAGCCATACTCTGTTCTGGCTGTTTGTCTATTGTTGCTATCATAAAAACCGAATTCGAGGCTGGAGTTCTGTGTGGACAGTGAAACAGGAGAAAAGGATTCATTGAGTAAGATGGATACGAACAAGTGGTGTATGGTTAGACAGACAAGAGGATAAGCCTGACAAGGTTGGGTGTAGGAGTAAGTGAAATTATGTGGTTTTCTAGATCAGATTTTCCTGAGTAATGGAGAGATTGGGGGTTAGCCTAATGCCCTAAATACTTGGACTTAATGTAATGCCGTCATGCAATGGTAACTGGGATGCAAGCAAATTATGGCCAAGAGGAAGCATAGCCGAGAGCATTCCGCCTATTCCTATAGAAGGAAGGCAAGAAGGCAAAGTTATAACGGGAGCAATCACCATTCTCTATTTAATCTCGTATCATCTTTATTTTATTTTTGGGCGAGTATTAAAGGCAATAATAATAGTAGTAGTAATTATAGCAATACTACTACTACTACTAATGGAAAAAGAAATAATAAGGATATTACTACTATCAATAATAATAATTATAATTATAATATAAGTATATAATGAGAAGATTCGTTGATTGATCTCACTGGAAGACAGCTATTGGGGACATAACTTAAAACACGCAAGCACGCACCTACGCACACACATAGGCACACTCAAATAAAAGTACCTTGACTAATATGGACGATACACTATCAAATAATTCTATAGCTATCTATCTAACAATATCAAAATATTTTCGTTTTTTTGTTGAGAGTATATTTAGCATGTAGAATAGAGTCGGTAGTCTTTTTGAATTAGTTGCAACTTGAGACTCTTATATGAAGGATGTCCGTCTTTGGTGATATCCATCATATAACGGACAAAAACTCAGTCTGATTTTACTCAGATTGAAGGAGAATCTCTCGTAAGCCGCATCAACCTGAACGTCGAGTTAAAGCAAAACGGCTGCAGAAAAACGGGAATCGTTCGTCGTTTACTTGTGGGTTTAATCAATGAATATTTTCGT